GTATGAGACACAGAGATTATCATGCAATATACAGGGTGTTTCACATTTTATCCGACACATTTTTACATCAACTATTGGTTCATAATAAGTCGAATACATCACACATAATTCATAACACCTTCGAATAAAGCGGACAGCCTTTACTTTGGAAGGAGCATCTCGATGATGATAACTAGGACTTCCGGTTGGAAGCTCCCAACTGCTTTGAAACTGATCCCTTAGTTGATCAATCGCACATAATTCAAAAACTAAAAACTTTATAATGGTTGATTATTGTCAATTGTCAAAGTGACAGAACTGTACATATCATGGCTCACAGGATATTTATTATTTGTTGATAATCGCTCTCATGTACATACTATTCACGGTATTGACCTCCGTGATAACGAAGGCGAAGGCATTAGTCCTCGATGATCACCAGGTGTCTATAGGCATGCATTCGATCTCAAAGATTCAAAATGATCGATCATGATTCAAGAATATAAAATCATCCTGTATTTAATTTTTTTTCCTTTCACCCTATATATTCTACTATGGTGCTTTATTCGTCTTACATTGAGATTCAGAATACATGGAAACAGTTCTTCCCAATATTCAGTTCGAGATGACTGACATTTAATCAGAAAAAAATTCCTCGAGTTCCGGCAGCATCGCAAACGTAGATTATAGTGTAATGGTTCCTCTATGCACCTTATCCAAGTTTCGTTCTGCTGACATTTTCACAGTGTTTTAGCTTTCTTTGAGGTCGATGAAATATTACATCTGATATCGAAATTAGGAAATGGTCAGCTTTCCAACAAATGCAAATGAACATGGAAAGTGAAGAGACCAAATTTGGAAATCGGTGAATAGGTACATCAGCAAAACAAAATATGCGAGGTAGGACTACGAAATAACATATTATACTTTCTCATTGTGCCTAATTATCCACACCACAAGTTTCTAAATGCATTTTAGTAGAAAGACTTTCGATTTAAATGGAGGTTTAAAAAAAGAGGCATATGCCATACCATTTAAAAAATTATACCTACATTCAGAAAATATAAATGTTCGAAAAAAACTGCACGAATGATATACCCAACATGAATATATAAATATACAGCACACATGACATATGAGCACATTAGTTTGTTAACATATTGAACTTCCAGAAAAATTTATGCTCACTGCCTCACCAAAAGTATGCTGGAGTTGAGAAATCAAAAACTTAGAAATTATTGATCTTTATTTCGATATAATATGTAGAGTTGAATCAGGAATGCCATGTGGAAATTACGTATGATACGCCAATGTCCTCAATATAACCTAAAAAACAACAATTGTCAGAAACTAGTGTTTATCCCCAGAATTGAATACAGATGGAACTATATAACTGTTTCAAACATACTTTAGAGAGGAGACGAGATGACAAATACGTCAATTTACATCAAGCGACCCTAATCGAAATGACCGATCGCATGAAAATCGGTCAATTTGCTCAAAAAATAGAGTTCGTCGGAAAATAGTCAAATCATGAGTGGTTCAGTGTGTTGTGAAGTGAAGTTATCACGTCCAATAAAAAATTCCAATACCTACTTTCTCTCCTTATTCTCTAAGTTCCTTGTACAAGAGGGATTCCCTTTCGCGCGCTTCAAAAGATAAACGAAAAATGTTTTCTTCAATCTTGAAGTTCACTGATCTTTTTATATGAAAATGATTCATCTTCTCAGACATCCACATTCAAAAATGTATCAAAAGTAAACTGCTAGAATAATTTGTTTTCTTATTTGTAGATTCAGGACATAAAGTTAACTTTATTACATCTTCCTCTACTTATTTTTCATTGGACTGGTATTATTCTACTTAACAACTGCACATCAAATATAAAACATTTGATGCTTCTAGCTATTTTCTATTGTTTCAATCCAGCCCAATCAACTGTAATAATACTTTTTTTCAAAATCAATTTTGGTACAATATCTCATTAGGTGTATGTTTGTCGCTCTAAAAATGCATCTTGTTAAGTGGCAGTGACTCCGTTTGATCCTTTTATGGGCGTGTGCTCAAGAAAGGAAAAAAAACTCAACCAAATAATGATTCAGTAAATTAATATTAATATAGTTACTTTCGTAGATTACCAGAAATCTACAATCTCTGTTATAATTTTTTTGTTTCATTTAAATTGACATGGTTCGTATTTGTCTTCCCAATTTCATCGAGAATATATCTATTTGGGAAAAAGAATAGAGTATCCCAGTTTAAAATTCATTACCCATGCCATTACAAAGTCCGTATTCTAAATTGAATTGATACACTAATTTAAATCAATAATGAAATTCAGAATTATTATTCGTACCTAGAGTGAAATAAATTGAAAATTATTCAACTGCTGTCTATACATTTGAATTAAATTGTTGCTGTTCGCGGATTTAGAAGTACTGTTTTTCTCTGAATACCTTTTTAAATAATTTTTCGTGAATCATGCTATTATGATGTGAATCATACTGTAATGAAACGTCCCGAATGTAAAGACATCAAATATACAGGATGTTCCATTTTTGAAAATCGATAGAACTGACAATTTCAGATTGAACTGATGATATAAAACGCCCTGGAACCATCACAAATAAGCCTTTATTTTTACTGTGGAAACATTACAGGTATATAAATGGACGCCTCCATACATGTTCAGGAGATACGGTTGCCCACGATAAACATGAATAAAGGCAATATAATTATTATTGAACATTAAAATTTTTTTAATAAATAAGGAAATCATTGTTGGAATATCTGAAAACAACTACTTCATGTCAAATATTGGAAATACATACCTAATTTCATTTTTCAAACTGGTTGCAAAGCTTGAACGAGTTTAGAATAACTATGTATATTATATAAAAAGGGTGGATGAAAAGAATAGTTATTTTGAGTTTCTTTATGCTGTGCAATTGGTTGAAAACGTATTCCTTTTCCCGAACTTACCAGGCGATAGGGTACATTACATTATTCTCCATACTTGTAGTAGTATTCTTGATATTATGTTTTAACTTCAACCGCGTTATAGATGCTATGACATCTAGGCGAGAAGGCGAACATATTCTCTTGTACCATGATGTCATTTTTTCCACTACTAGCATATTTCTTAATATAAAACATTGACGATAACAGTTTGTTAGACATGCTTGACCAACTTGTAAGGGTTTTTGGATTATGGAGAGCTGTTTCATTATACAGCCCCATTTTATCGAGATGTCCCTTGACTGAGAGATGTCCAGTAAGGGGATTCAACTAACTACTAGTATATTAATGAGCAACGAGTACGATGAAGCCCGAGATTATTAATCGCTATTTCAATATTTCAATATATGAGTTGGTTACAAAATTTCAATGCGTGTATAGTGTAGGATGCAATGAAACAAATCTGGTTTGCAAAATCATCCTTCATCCAAAAACTGTACTTACCATCTAGTAGTCATGACAGATATAGAAATTTCCAACAACAGATATAGAAATTTCCAACAGAGAAAATTAATCCAGTTTTGTATTGAAACATGGATCTCAATCGTTCCAGAAACATTCGAAAGCCAATATTAAAATTCCTGTGATATCCATATATTTTGTATTTAAATGCAGATTTCGGAAATTATAAGCCAAGCCCAATAGTGAAACGACGCGGTGTATGTTTAGTTGCCTATACCATATTCGTTCATTATTAGAGAAATTGATCGTTAATAGGGGTCAGTAACTATCGATTTCGTGTACATTGATAATGAACTTGTTGATACGAATTCGACGGAAATAGTATATAATGTAACAAGTATTATATTTTCTTGAAAAAATTACGTTCAAAAGCTGCCCAACTGCCCCGCTCATTCCCTGCGGGCCACGTTGCAAGAGTTTATCTTCATATTTTTGCGAAAGAGCCCGAAGGAAGAGGACTTCTTTACAAAATATGAAAATAACCGAATGCAATTTGTATAAGATAACACGCTTGAATACAAAATTATCTGGTCATTTCTATGCACGAATATAATTCATTGGAATATTTCTCGAATAAAGAAATTGTGTCTGTTGGATTTGGTATATTTTGGCTCACTTTCATTTATACTTTCCTGGATAGATTGTATGGAGCACTCACCAAAACGCGACATTTTTTCCACTTTTTGAAGTCCATCTGACATTTATTCGTATTGTTTACTGGCTTCTAGTGACATGGCTTTATAAATGTGTTGTTATGACGACGGGATCTCTTCGCAGTGCAATGTTCGCTCTGCAGTGCAATTACCGATATATGAGGGAAATATGCAATTCAATTTCAAAATGCATCAATAAAATTGCAAATGAGTCATTTTAATTTCAAAAAACATCAATGGTATTCCAAAATTATGAAATTAATTTCAAAAACCTACGCTTCAAATTCCAAATTAGTCATTTGTATTTCCAAAAATATCGAATGTACTTCGTAATGAATCATTTGAATTTTAAAAATGAAAAAGCACAGACGATGGTTAGATGGGTGTAAATTTCATCCCAAAAATTGAACAAAATACGAGAAAAAATTCAAGTACGCCACTTTAAAACAATTTAAATGATTGAACTCCGCGTGATTGTGCCTACCGCATGGAGATCTGAACAGAGGTGACGTCAGATTTGCTACAGTGTAGAACTTTGAATGGAAAAAGCGTTTTAACCTCAAATTTTATTTTGATCCCTACATTTTTTTATTAGTGCCATTCGATAGTTCACGTCGAGCTTTCTCAGTGTTTGAAATATTTGCACTTATTTCAATGCCACCCTGAATATATTAAATTGTACTCCACTGATTTTGAAATAATAATGATCTTTTGGAATTTATATGATAGATTATGATATTAAGTTAAAATTTTTTGAAATTTAAATGACTAATTTGAAATTTTGACTAATTTGAAATAGAACTCATACTTTTCAAATTGAATTCAGACGCTTTTTCAACTAGACTTGCAAAAAGTGTAGTTCACTGATTTCCCCGATCGTATTTCAAGGTAACGGCACAATCGACTTCCCCGAATTCCTGACGATGATGGCGCGCAAAATGAAGGACACCGACAGCGAGGAGGAGATACGCGAGGCGTTCCGCGTCTTCGACAAGGACGGCAACGGCTTCATCTCGGCCGCCGAGCTGCGTCACGTGATGACGAACCTCGGCGAGAAGCTGACCGACGAGGAGGTGGACGAGATGATCCGAGAGGCGGACATCGATGGCGATGGCCAGGTCAATTACGAAGGTGAGAGAGCGAATCGGGCGAAGCTTGGAGGAATACGGGTGTACGAATTCGTATTGCCCGAACATATGCATAGGCGATTCCTATATACCAATCAGAACAATCCAAGGAGCGCCTGCGTGTTGAGAAACGTCTAGGGTGCAACAAATATGCATCATGCAACAAATTAACAAATAATCCATGTGTGGGTGGGTAACTGCTTTTGCGGAATAAATTCTTTCTTGAAATGGAATATCTTCAGAATCGTGATTGGGTTTTCTCAATTCAGAATTTCTTTCCACGACTTGATGAAGAAGATCAACTCATCATACACTGTATATTAATTATTTCTCTATACTATAATTTTCATGTATCTATAATATTAATAATAATGATAATAATCATTTTTATTATCCTGTAAGACAGTCAAAAGTTAAATTGTGTAGGATTAGTCACGGAAAAACCTTGAAAATAAAACCTTGAATAAGTAAGTAGACATTTTACAAACATTAACACATAAACACATAATTCAATGACAAATTGTTGAAAATAAAGTACAACACCTATACTTATTCATTCATTTCCTGAACGGAGTATTATTATTTTTTTAATTTTGAAGCTATAGATAGTACTAGAGTTTTTTTATAGGTCAATATGTTTTTACAAAATGGTACATGAAAGTCTGTCTTAGATCTAGTATTAATAGGATGAACATTTTCATTCCTTACGAAATAGTTACGGTTGTTGAATCCAAAAACGCATAATTCAAATATATACAAGCACAGGCAACTTCTTTTTGTCTAGTATGAAATCGGATCAAGTGAGTTTTCTGATTATTCAGATATAGAGAGTTTTTCTTAAACCAGGTATTCAAATTTTGTAGAACTAAGTTGCCTTCAATTAGTAGACTTTGGTCTATTTTATCTGATATAACTAGTGAGAAGTATCATCTGCATATAATGTGAAATGAGCCTCTTTGGAGATGGATTCGATATTGTTCACATATAACAAAGAAAGTACTGGGCCCAGCACTGAGCCCTGAGGGACACCAACATTGATGTCCACATAATTGGATGTATATGATCTGCGTGGCGCAGTGCTCTGTTCGTTCGGAGCCTCTTTGGAGATGGATTCGATATTGTTCACATATAACAAAGAAAGTACTGGGCCCAGCACTGAGCCCTGAGGGACACCAACATTGATGTCCACATAATTGGATGTATATGATCTGCGTGGCGCAGTGCTCTGTTCGTTCGGATTCCACACCAGCGACCCGGGTTTAATTCTTGCCACAATCGGCTTTAGTGAGAAGGTCCATTTCGGCCAAGTGAAGTTAGAATGTTTATAATAAGTAGTCTCCTTATGCAGAAGGAATAATATGTTCCTTCCTCTCTTAAAAAAGTACTTTAGTCGAATTTACTGTTGAGGCTCATGTGATTCGCTATTTCAATGATGTTTTTTTCAGGATTGGCCGTGAGCGAAGCTCTCGGCCGGAAATTTTCTGTAGACTTGATTTCGCGCCAATTATAAGCAGGGTATTGCTATTATTTTCTATGATGTGAAAACAGTGATAGATTGGTCTATGGGAAACGACTATGCATATGTTTGGGCAAAACAGATTCATGCTACTGGGGTGCGGTCGATTATTAACTCTCAGAGTAAACTCAGTTGAAGGTTTTTTCAGTTTACTCTGAGTTAATTTACTACTCCTTGTGGTATTCAAACAGAATTATGAGTTAGTTTATTGACATCTGAGATTGACATGAACATGTTTGTCAAGTTGACAAGTTCGATTCATAAAGGAGTAGGTAGAACTTATATTCCAGTAGCAATAAAATAATGTTCATTGCCGCTTATCAATGTTGAAAACACGTCTTGGGTAGGTACTGCTATACTAATAATGCATATACAATATACAATAAACCTCAATATACATACAAGGTGTTACATTAGGAATTCTTTTCCCTTAATATACTTCTCAAAATTATCTTCTTTGTCCAGCAAATAAAAATTATCCAGCACAATTTCTCAGCCTACTGCCATCACAAAAACTCCAGCAAAATTGAAGAAAATGGATCAGTTATTTTTTGAGGCAATCGATTCGGACTAGCCACAAATACTTCCATATTAATTTCTCATGATGGGTGTTATCAAGAAATGAAAAGTAGAATGGAAAACTAAATAACACCAATAAAAAAATTACATAAAAATTAGAAAAAAAAAAAAAGAAACAGCAACCATTCCTAACAAGTTTAGATTTTTGTATTCTCGGTCAAATCTCTTTCATTCTCTGTACACTTTTTATATCTCTTTCACACGTTTCATGATATTTTCAACTCTCAGTTCTTCTGGTGGTATTCCTCTCAAACTGTTATTGCTGGAGTTTTTGTGATCGCAGTAGGCTAAGAAACTGTGTCTGATACTTTTTATTTGCTCAACAAAGTAGATAATTTTGAGTAGTATAATAGGAGAAAAAAAAATCTTGAATCATCCTAGGAATACGAAAGTACAGGGGTGGGATGGTACAAATTATAACGCACTGTATATAATCAAGTTGATAATTGAATATTTTGTTATCAGAACAGTACACACAACAGAACCTAAGTGTCTCACTGTCTGAAGATTTCATGATGTTTTCAATATTGAAATGTGATGTTAAGAAGTACCTACCAAATTTGAATGCTTTGATGATATAAAAACAATCATAAACTGCGTTCCAAATTGACCTTACCTAATTTGAAACAAACAAAACAAACTCCAAACTTCTTCATCCCTGTTCGCCATGTAACAACTTTGTCAAATCTGTGGAGTAAAATATATCCACCTATTTTACAACAGTTAACTCACAGACTTAAATATACACAATCTAACAAATTTCGAACGCAAATGAGTAAACTCTACTCCACAGAGTACGTATTCGAACGCACCCCTGGGTCTCCGGTTCAACTTGTCTAACTTCGGAAAGCGATAGAATATTAACCATCTGAGTCGATCCATAGGAAAATCTTACAGTCAACTCCACCAAAACTACTTTTTCTGCAACCAGGGTAGGCACGAATTATTTCAAATTAATTAAGTCCGTTAGTTAATTACTAAATTGAATCAAATGACTTTTTACTAAACAAGTCATGAAATAACTCAAAATTCCTCTAATGGGAACAAATCGTATTATTTACCTTGAATTTTAACCAAACTGATCACCAAAATAAACTTCATGGTCCAAAATATAGGCAGAATTCAGAATCAAATTACTCATGGATCCCATCACTATTATCTACAGTTCTCAACACACCAAATGGACCACTCATAATTTGACTCTTTTTCGAAGACCTGTATTTTTTGAAAAAATTGACCGATCTTCATGCAGTTTTCGATATTGGATGTGATATTTCATCGGCTTCAAAGAGAGCTTGAACACTCTGGAAAAGTCTGCAGAACAAAACATACACAGGGTGTAAAGTGGAACCATTACACTATGGTCTACATTTCCAATGCTGCCAGAACTCGAGAATTTTTTTTCTGATCAAAAGTCAGTCATATTATGATACATTGGGACCTCAACTCGGGACCTTTTCGTGATTTCTCCTTCATTGGCCATTGGAACAAAAATTAGATTTTTTTACGAAAGTCTTGATTTTCTTGACTTTTTTGTCTAGAACTCCACTTGAGCTGAATATTGGGAAGAACTGTTCTCATGTTTTGTGGAGGACAATGAAAGACGAAAAAAGCACCATTGTGGAATATACAGGGTGATAATAAAATAGGACAAAATCCTATTTCGGTAAAAAAAATCCAAAACGGTGGCCCATTCGATTCAGTATATTCAGAAACGGCCTTCTCGATATCTATTGTTTATATTAGACTATTAACTCGAGACGTTTTCGAAAACTCAACTCTAATTGAAACACAGGTTTTCATAGTTGGTTAGCCCAATCTTTCAGTGACTGGTTGGAGCAATATGAGAATACAAAAATTTCAGAACGTTTTACACGATGATAATTGAAGTAGCGTACAACTGCAGCGATGTTATGTTTCTGTTTGAGCAAATATTTTTTATAGTTTTTTTTTTTTCGATAATAATTATTATCATGAAGCTTGATGTCTTTTCTCAAATCTATTTCAAATATTTTTAATCAGACCTTTTATGTCGGAGATATATGTTTTTTCTTCAAAATGATGCATTCCATCAATGAATAATTGAAAATGATTTTTTAAAAGATTCCCATTGTTTGCATAGTTTTTGATAATGTGAGTGTTTGGAAACAAAAACTCAAAATGAGTTATATACAGGATGATACAAAAATTATTCTGAGATTTAATGGAGAAAACATATCTCTTCAGATGGAACATTGTTTTCTCAATGCCATAGACGAAATCATGGAGTTTTATACCATAGACATGAAGTTTGATGTCTGGTCTCGAAAAAGTTTTGAAATTTTACAAATCTAAGTCCATATTATGAATGATGCATTTCGATGCTTACAGGACCAAGCAATGTATAGGTGGCGTGAAAAAATATAAATTATCGTCAGGGAACTGGCATAATTTTGTTTTTTGAAGTGAATTAATTAAAAAAAGTTCGAATTGATTCTTTTTTGTTTTGAGTTTCTTATAAAAGTCATGACTCATACCAACCCTGTCTGTTACCGACTCAATAGTCGTCGATTTTAATTCCATAATTAACTCTTGAAGTTGACGTTCCTGATTACTGACACAAAAATAGGTTTTTTTGCTAGGCAACACATTTGTAAATGCCTCCACAGTATTTTTTTTTGAATTAATCACTTTGTAAGAAGAAAAGTTGGAGGAGTACGGGATTGGAACCGTTGGCATATCAGGCAGGCACGCTACCAACGGGCCATTGTGTTTGGTGCGAATTTATGTACAAACGGCATTAGGGTAGTATTGAATTCGTGCCTGTAGTCTCTTTTGACATGATGCATGTAAACACAAATTGTAACAAAGG